TACGAAACCAAATGAGCCACTCACGTACCCTGGGAAGGAAAACTATTTTCACAAATGCATCTGTGTGCTACTCAATGCAACAAACTATATGCCTATATCCAGTTTAATTGCTTCTTCCCTAGATAGAAGTGATTGCCCTCATAGGGGCCTGTCCCCTAGGAATTTTTTTTAATTTTTTTATTACGTTAGTCACGATAGAGTACATTATTAGTTTTTGATGTAGTGTTCCGTGATTCGTTGTTTGCTTCTGCAATACATACCTTCCTTAATACCCATCACTGGGCTCACATCCCCTAGGAATTTTATGCCTACATATTTTCTCCTGGTTCTCATTCATCAGGCTCTGAAATCATATCATGACTCCACCTGAAAATATTTTAAAGGGACCAGACCCTGAGTATACCCATTCAGTTACCATTTATCCAAATGAATGCTAACGCTTTTTAGTACACACACCAGTCTTTCCCCAAACGGAGAGTTGGCAGTGACTCTGCAACCAGAGCTGGGGGGAAAACCCTAAGATAATAATTAGATTATTCTATGTTGAAAGGATAACCTTTACTAAAGATCTTCATAGACCCACACTCATTCACAGATAACATTTTGTGAAATCAGGGGAGAATTGATTTTATTTTTTCTATGCCATTAACAAGGAAACTGAGCTCAGTGTAAGGTAAATGACTCTCCTAACACAAAGAAAAATCCAAGGTAATTGCAAGACTTGAAACTTGGCTTCCTAGCTCCGTGTTCATGATCCTTCTTTATCTCTCCATGTCTCAGACACCTTGGAACATTTTCAGACACCTTGGAACATTTTGACCAATATCTGAGATATGCTCCAAAATTGTTTATACATTCTTGCAGGTCTGAATTTCTGATTTCAGACTCACAGTTCAGGATTGTCTTTTCCTTTTTTTCAAGAACAAGGTAAGCTTCTATATTTGATATATACTTTTAGTGAAAAATGTAATGGCTGCAGAAGCACTGGGGCAGCTACCTCTTCTATGAGTTTTTGCACTCGTATCTAGTTTTTTGGACACTTTCTGAAACACAGTCTTAAGTACAGGATTCAAATGTAAAAACATTTTAATCAACAGAGAGTAGTGTAGAATTTATGAAATTTTATGCTGCTTTCCTTAAGAGGGAGGATAGTATAAATGTATTGTTTTGTACTGGTCTAAGGCTATTGATAACCAATACTGTGGCTGGATAGACCCTTGTGGTTCCTAAAATGATTGCAAGACATGCTCAGCAATAACCACCAAGTAACTCTGAAAGAGACAAGGTTATTACTCACAGGTCCTGGAAACCACATGGTACACCTGAGGCCACATAGGAAGATCATGGATAGAGAAAGAGAGCAGGCTTGGGTTCTGCTTTTATTGGTGTGAAGGATGGGAGCCTAGGGTATCCTGGGTTCTCTCTTTAGTGATGAGTTTAATACATAAAAGAGAATTTAAAGCATAGGAAGAGAAAAGTAAGTGGCACAGATGGTAGGTTATCTAAACCAACCAAGATCTCTAAAACCAAGGACTCTAGGGGGTGGGGAGCTGGCTCTTTATCTGGTGGCTGACAATGTGCTTATTCTAGATAGAAATCTTTGAAGTAGTTGCCTCTCTGAGTGGATGTCTAGACATCAAAGCATAAATTGGATACTTGCATTAGAAAAAAAGAAAAACCATCAACTGGGGCTTACTCAGCAACTATGATAGATTGTACTCGATTGAATAGGTGGTAAATCTCTCCTGTTTACTTTGTGTTGACATGTTATTGAAGGATAACTAACCAAACAGCGTGAAACGACACTCTTTAGATTCTAGAAGGAACATCATGAAGTACCGAGATCCTTACTCCAGGTTTTTTTTTCTCATTTTTAAAATTTCTTTTCAGAGTAACAGTATTCATTGTTTTTGCACCACACCCAGTGCTCTCCAGTTTTAATACCATTTCCACACAACCTGCCCTTTTATTACTTGAGTATCTAAAAAATATGACAATGCAATGATTAAAGCCACAGGCATTAAAATCAGTGAGATATAGTTTTGTATCTTAAACATTTCATACTAGGTGTAGAATTTTAAGAAGACACATGATTTCTTAAATCCTATATTTTCTTTTTTTTTAGATTTTTTTTGTTTATTTATTTGTCAGAGAGAGAGAGAGAGAGAGAGAGGACATAAGCAGGCAGAGTGGCAAGCAGAGGCGGAGAGAGAAGCAGGCTCCCCACTGAGGAAGGAACCCGATGTGGGACTCGATCCCAGAGTACTGGGATCATGACCTGAGCTGACTGAGCCACCCAGGCATCCCGAATCCTTCATTTTCTTAACTGTACATTAGGTTATATGTATGTGTCTTTGTTATTGTGTGTGCATACACAATTTATACCGCTTACTCTTCTGTTATTTCTGTCCATCTATCCATCCATTCCTCATCCTGCCATCTTCCATCTTCTTGTCTTTGGGGTCCACTTGCCTGTCTGGTTGTCTGACTTTTCTTATTTCTGTTTATCTAGCAGATAAACTATCACATAAGCACTGTAGTACAGTTGTTATTAATCCCCAGAAATCTGATTTGGGGACAGATTCATTCCAGATATGTGACCATGGGAAAGTTAATACCTCTTTCTGCTCTTCTGTTGATTATTATATACAATCAGAAAGTTGGCCACAAGATCTGTGAAGGTGTCTCAACTTCAACAATCTCTAACTCTCTAGATAATTTACCTATTATATGTTCTTTTCATACCCATTGTGGCAGTCAGAATAATGCTTCCTGGTATGCCCACATCCTAATCCTGGAATTTGTGATTATGTTCTCTTACATGGTAAAAATTATTGTGCACATATGAGTGAGTTAAGGATTTTGAGATAGAAATTTTATACTGAGTTATCCATGGGGACCCAATAAGAACGTTCCAGTTGTCATAAAACAGCAAATGCTAAATAAGAAATTATAGCTTATATTATTATTGAGTGGTGGGTTCACAACCAAAAATACTATAAATTCCAGACATGTAATATGTGGAGGGGCCAGGAGGAAGATGGTAGAAAACAATAGTTACCTACTGTTTGTAGGTACTGTTTGGATGCACCTCCAAAGACTTCAAATATACATAAAAAATTTTAAACATTGTGCTTTCTTGAGAACAATCTGCAGAGCTAGGGTCAAATCCACAGATGTGGATTTTCAACTTTCAATAGTTATGAACTGGTAAGTGTTGACAATAACTGAGAATGAGTCTAAAATGAAATAGAAATCTTTCAACCCCTGCTAAAATGTGGATCAAAAGGAAGAAATTAAGCAAAAGAGATCAGTGTGACTGTTCTTACACAGAATGTTTAACAAACCACTAACACAGGAGAGGTAGGACAGAATGAGAAATACTGGAGGAAACAAAAGATCTAGGTGGACACAGTACATGAAAAATACAAGTCAGATGCACTTGGGTGGCTCAGTCATTAAGCGTCTGCCTTTGCCTCAGGTCATGATCCCAGGGTCCTGGGATTGAGCCCCACACTGGGCTCCCTATTCAGCGGGAAGCCTGGTTCTCCCTCTTCCACTCCCCCTGCTTCTGTTCCCTCTCTCACTGTGTATCTCTCTGTCAAATAAATAAATAAAATGCTGAGTGAAATAAGTCAAGCAGAGAGAGTCAATTATCATATGGTTTCACTTATTTGTGGAGCATAACAAATAGCATGGAGGACAAGGGGAGTTAGAGAGGAGAGGGAGTTGAGGGAAATTGGAAGGGGAGGTGAACCATAGGGGGAACCAGGTGGTGGGTATTGGAGAGGGCACGGATTGCATGGAGCACTGGGTGTGGTATAAAAACAATGAATACTGTTATGCTGAAAATAAATTTAAAAATTTTTTTAAAAAGAAAAGAAAAAAATAGTGGAGTGGTATACGTAAGAACTGTGCATTTCACTATAAGTACATTTTTACTTAACAGAAAATTTTGAAACCAAAAAAAAAAAGAAAGAAAGAAACAAACAAACAAAATACAAGTCAGAGCGAAGCTACCAGACATCAAAAAGCACTGACACTTTGAAGCCATGCATGTCACCACCAAACTTCCTATACCAACAGACACCATTATGCCATCCTACTTGTAATATTACAGGTAGAACTCATCAGGATGGTGCTGAATGCCCACTTTATGGGAGCTGTTTGTCATGATTACCTCACTGAACACTCACAGTAACATGCAGGTAGGTTCCCATATCACCTTCACTTCACTGATGGATAAAATGAGGCTTGGGAAACTTAGCTTAGGATCAGTGTCTCCCAGGTTGTAAATGGGATTTCTTCTGTGTGGATGCACATGCACGTCACCCAGAGCACAATATTTATATCGAATTCTGTATCTTTTTTTGCTTTTATTAACTGCATTTTTCTCTAATGTTGCATTTATCTCACTGCATGTATATGCATATATTTGTGGATTGCTCTACTGCATTAAGCTTGGAAGAATGGATACCATGATTAAGTGTAAATTGAGTAAGATTAAAATAAATTCAAATTCATTGATGTTATTTAGTTTGGGAACCATTCTGAATGTGTCTAAAACATGGTTCTATCAATAATCATGTAAACTTGAATACTCAGTCTCTTAGTTGCCAATTTACTTATTAGATATATGGGCATAATAACTAATCAATATGATGGGGATAATGAAAGGATTGAATAAATACATGTGAGGATATGGAAGTGGAAGTTATTTTGGACTCCCTGATTTGGGAGTTCAGTCCATTCCAGGCATGTGAGCTTCGACAGCTTACTGCCCTTCTTCTGACTCAATTTACTCATATACAAAAATAAGAAACTGGAAAGACAATCTGTGATGAAACTTCTGTGATTAACCTTCCTCTACAAAAGTCTATTCTTGTATGGATAAGTTATCACTAAATTTGATTGCCATTCCCATAGCATGGTTAGTAATGGAGAATGTTAAAAAATAAATTATGGTGATAATAAAATAATGCTATGCATTTCAATTTCTATGAAATTTTTCTTTATTGATCATTCTGTTCTCTTCTGTTGCTATAGGACATCTTGTTATTCTCAAATCACATCCATGAAGAATAACACAGAGGTGACCGATTTCATCCTGCTGGGACTAACCAATGCCCCAGAGCTGCAGGGTCCTCTCTTTATAATGTTCACGCTCATTTACCTCATCACTCTGGTTGGGAACCTGGGGATGATCATGCTGATCTTGCTGGATTCTCATCTCCACACTCCTATGTACTTCTTCCTCAGTAATCTGTCTCTGGTAGACTTTTGTTACTCCTCAACAGTCACTCCCAAGGTCATGGCTGGGCTCCTTACAGGGGACAAGATCATCTCCTACAAAGCATGTGCTTCCCAGATGTTCTTTTTTGCAGTCTTTGCCACTGTGGAAAATTACCTCTTAGCCTCAATGGCCTATGATCGCTACATAGCAGTGTGTAAACCCCTCCATTATACCACCACAATGACAAAAGGTGTATGTGCACGTCATGTCTTGCCATAGGTTCTTATGCCTGTGGTGTCTTAAATGCCTCTATAAATGTTGGAGATACCTTCAGCCTCTCCTTCTGTATGTCCAATGTGGTTCATCACTTTTTCTGCGATATTCCAGCAGTCATGGCTCTGTCTTGCTCTGATAAACATATCAGTGAACTCGTTCTTGTTTTTATCTCAAGCTTTAATGTCTTTTTTGCAATTTTGTTATCTCTATTTCCTATCTGTTCATATTTATATCCATTTTGAAGATACAGTCAGGTGAGGGATACCAGAAAGCTTTATCTACCTGTGCTTCTCACATTGTTACAGTTTCCATATTTTATGGGACAGTCATCATCATGTACTTACAGCCACGTTCCCATCATTCCATGGAAACAGACAAAATCGCATCTGTGTTCTATACTATGGTCATCCCCATGCTAAATCCTGTGGTCTACAGCTTGAGGAACAAAGAGGTCAAGAATGCGTTCAGGAAGGTTGTTGAAAAGGCAAAATATTCTCTAGGTGTAGTGTATGAGTGAGGTAGATCCAGAGAAATTATTTTACCACAATCAGATCTACTGCATGCCAGAACTCACAAGGTAGTGAACATTTGGGATATTAGAAAAAAATGTTGCCTAATATTTATTTCTTTAGTTGAGGAATAGATCCAATCAACTAAAGTGCAGAAAAAATATAAAAATTATTTTTAATGGAGTTTATTTAATGAAGTATGTGCCTTTGTTGGTACATTCCATCCAGAGTTAAATAATGATAGCAGCTCAATAGATTAATGCTTCAGTCATTACTGAGTGATCTGAAAAAGAAAAAACACATTCATGTGGCAGTTTCCAAAAGTAAAAAATCACATTAGAATAAAAAGAGATGTAATTACATTATTGTTACCTTAAATATTTTGAATAACAGTTCTTCACATTTTGTTTTTTTTAAATCATTTAAAAAATAATAAGGGTATTCGGCTTTCTTTGGTAATAACTGTTTTGAAATGGTTAATGTCACTTATCACTTTATGCTTCAGTTTAGCTACCTTTCATCCCACCTCATTCACACTGGTTACTGGCAATACTGGACAGCCCCCATCTTACCATGTCCCAGGGTCTTTGTATTTATTATTTCCAATGTATGGAATTTTTATACTTATTTCAGATTGCTGGTAAAATGTTACCTACTCAGGGAGGCCATAGATGCTTGCCATAAGCAACTTTACAAAATATTCACTTCCTTCCCATGGACTTTTCCCCTGAGTCTTCTCTATTCTTCACAAACACTATCCACATTCAGCTCTTGTATTTATGTATTCCCCTGTTCATCTATTTGCCTTGACTTGCATGGAGAGTCCCATTAAGCGGTAGCTTAATATGGTTATTTCACTGAAAATAAGGCTTTGAGCCTGATTTAAAAATCATTTTGTTGAGCATCAAACAACTCCAGAAATTCCAAATTATATAGGTAAAAATGAGCTACAAAAATTCTATTTCAAGGGAAGACTATCACCAGTGTCAACTCGATAACCGTTGTAACTCTTACAGGAAATTAGCAGTCTCCAAAAACTCTCCACTTCTAACACTGAGAAATTCTTCCTCTTTTTATTTTTTTAAATTTTATTTTATTTTTTCAGAGTTCCAAGAGTCATTGTTTATGCATCACACCCTGTGCTCCATGCAATATGTGCCCTCCTTAGTACCCACCACCAGGCTCACCTAACCCACCACCCCGTCCCCTCCCAAACCCTCAGCTTGTTTCTCAGAGTCCACAGTCTCTCATGGTTTATCTCCCCCTCCGGTTTCCCCCTCTTTTTAAATTGTCCAAACTCTTTTCTTGTCCATTTGCAGCCAGCCAGTCAGTGACAAATGTACCTGAAGACTACTTAGAACATCTCTCCCACTTCCAAAAACCATATCTTAAAAAAACACCTGCCACTTTAACATTGACTCAGTATTTCTTCATTTTACTCAAAGAATTTACTCTTTTCTAACACCTTTGAACTCCTACTAAAATGAAACACTGAAAATGGTTTCCTCTGATGCAAGTTTATGAATAAACTGCTTTTGTTAATTTTGTGTGTGACATAGTTTTGTGTTTGATATGCTTCAGAAGTGGCAGTAAAGAATAATGGTTAAGAAAAAACATTCAAGTGGTTGGAATAAGAGGCCAAGGAAAATGGTAGAAAATCGAATTATGCCTAGAGGAAAAAAAATCCAGTCTCATAAAGAAATATTTTCCATCACCAGCATTGAGGGGGCCTTTGTAATGTCAATTCAGCAAGATTTGTGAACTGTCCTCCATTACTGTCTGTTACAAATGGGAGGGATTTTTTTTTATTTGGTCTAAATTATTGCTGAGTATGCCTATAGAATGAGTTGAGTTTTCTTTTTATTCCATAAGTGGTTATACCATAAGCAGCTATATCTGGACTAGATGGAGAGGCAATTAAATCTGTTAGCCTGGATGTGGAACTTCTATGGTGATTAGTTAGATTTTAGGCTGTGTCCCTGATGGAAGTGGATAATGTGTCCTCTGGACGGAGGAAATATAAACTGGACATTTGCTGGTCAAAGCATTGAAATGGAAAGGACAGTTAATTGTTTTCCCAGCTATTTCCTTTTCATTTCTGAGCACATAGCTAGTAGGCTCAATTTTTTCAGCTTTCATGAAGTTAGTTGAGGCCCTGTGATTATGATCTTATGAATGAAATGTGAGTGTATGTCGTGTGCTATTTTCAGGTTTGTCTCACTAAACGTTCTGTGTGATCCTCTGCTCATTCTCACTCTGTCATCAGCTCAATAGAGAGAGTTCATACCATAAGAGATGGAAAAACCACCAAATGGAGAGACTCCAGGTCACTGAACCACAGTTCAGTTTCCCATAGAAAAAATAATTGAACTGTATATAAACAAGAAAAACCTCTATGCTCATGGCACTGCAATACTGGAATTTGCTTGTATAGCAGATGGCATTATTCACATGAACAAATACAGAAAGTCTCCTATAATTTAGGACCCCTGGGTGGCTCAGTCCGTTAAGTGTCTGCCTTCAGCTCAGGTCATGATCCTGGGGCTCTGGGATCCAGTCCCACATCAGGCTTCTTGTTCAGCAGGGAGCCTGTTTCTCCCTCCCCCTGTTTGTGCTCTCTCTCTTTCTTTCTTAGACAAATAAATAAATAATCTAAAAATTTTTTTAAAAGAAAGTTTCCTGTAAGTCAATCTATATGGTGTTGGAAATAAACCAGAAGTAAGAAGCTCTATAATGAGGAAAATTGTCAAACTGCTCTAGCACAATTTAATTCCACAGTTGTTTACTTGTGAGCCCTCACTCAACCTCCATATCAACACTAAAATGGCTAGCACAAAATAAAATTAGGACAGGTTTTTAGGAACAGAATATAGCCCAACTTGAATTCCATTCTAAAAAAGAAAGCTTTTTCTGATACAGGCAAGTTAATCAATTGTTCTGAGCTTCAGCTGAGGAAAATAAGGCCTGCCTCATAAAATTACATACTGATTAAGCCAGAACAGAGCGCAGTGCCTTAAACAAAACAGATGCGCAAGAATTGTTGGTCTCCCTTCTTTTCCTTTCCATTCCATTCCCTGCCTTTTTGTTTTACTTCCTCCTCTATATTGTCAATCCTCTCCATGTAAATATTGAGACATTTATTAACTGTATTGCTTTGTATTTGCAAATACTGACTTCCATCTTTCCTTCTATCTATATTGATGTATCGGGGCGCCTGGGTGGCTCAGTGGGTTAAAGCCTCTGCCTTCGGCTCAGGTCATGATCCCAGGGTCTTGGGATCGAGCCCCGCATTGGGCTCTCTGCTCAGCAGGGAGCCTGCTTCCCCTCCTCTCTCTCTGCCTGCCTCTGTCTACTTGTGAGCTCTCTCTCTGTCAAATAAATAAATAAAATCTTAAAAAAAAATATATTGATGTATCATATTTATTCATTTGCTTGTGTTGACCCATCCTTGAATCCTAGAGATAACATGGTTTATAATGTGCTACTGAATCAGGTTTACTAGTATTTTATTGAGAATTTTTTAAATCATTTTTTTAATTTATTTTCAGCATAACAGTATTCATTGTTTTTGTACCACACCCAGTGCTCCATGCAATCCGTGCCCTCTCTAATACCCACCACCTGGTTCCCCCAACCTCCCACCCCCCTCACCTCTTCAAACCCTCAGATTGTTTTTCAGAGTCCATAGTCTCTCATTGTTCACCTCCCCTTCCAATTTTGCATCTACCTTCATCAGGGATATTGACCTGTAATTTCCTTTTTTGTAGAATGCATATCTGGCTTTGGCATCAGGGTAATGCTATCCTTGTAAAATGAGTTTGGGAGTACACCTGCCTCTTCAGTTTTTGGAAGGAATTTGAAAAGCACTGGTGTTAATTTTTCTTTAACTGTTAAGTAGGGGGATATCTGGATGACACAATCAGTTAAACATCCAACTCTTGGTTTCATCTCAGGTTGTGATCTCAGGTTGTGAGATCAAAACCCAAGTTGGGTTCTATGCTCAGTGGGGAAACTGCTTGAGATTCTCTCTCCCTCCCCTGCTGCCCCACTCCCTCATGTTCTCTTTCTCTCTCTCTGAAATAAAAAAAATAAATAAATCTTAACAAACATAGTAATTCAAAGGGGTCACATGCACTCCAGTGTTTATAGCAGCTATGTCCACAATAGCCAATATAAGGAAAGAGCCCAAATGTCCATAGACAGATGAGTGGATAAAAAGCTATGATGTATACTGGGATATATATACTTAGAGGTGTACTATTACTCAGCCATCAAAAATAATGAGATCTTGCCATTTGCAATGACATGGATGGAACTAAAGGGCATTATGCTAAGCAAAATAACTCAGTCAGAGAAAGACAAATACCATATTATTTCACTTATATGTGGAATTTAAGAAACAAAACAGATGAACATAGGGGAAGGGAATGAAAAATAAAATAAGATGAAAATTGAGAGGAAGGAAAATCATAAGAGATATTGAATTCTAGGAAATAAACTAAAGGTTGCTGGAGGAAAGTTGGATGGCTGGAAGGGATAATTGGGTGAAAGGCATTAAGGAGGGCACTTGATGTAATGAGCACTGGGTGTTATATGCAACTGATGAACCACTAAATTCTAGCTTTGAAACTAATAAAAAATATTTTAAAATAAGTGTTTAGTAGAAGTCACCTATGAAGTCATCTAATCCTGGACTTTTCTTTCTTAGCAAATTTTTGATTACTGACTCTTACTCATTATTGATATGTTCTAATTTTTTTTTCATGATTCAGTCTTGGGAGGTTGTACATTCCTAGGATTTTATCCATTTCTTCTAGGTTGCCCAATTTGTTGGTGTATAGTTGTTCATAGTAGTCTTTTATTGGCCTTTTTATTTCTTTTATTTTATTTTATTTTTTCAGTATTCCAAGACTCATTGTTTATACACACACCCAGTGCTACATGCAATATGTGCCCTCCTTAATACCCACCACCAGGCTCACCTAACCCCCTATCTCCCTCCCCTCCA